GCGCAGATTGGACTTCATTGAAATATGAAGTAGCAAACAAACATCGATTTAACAGTAGTGGACAACGTTACTGCAATAATATAATCGTCTACGGTACTCCAGCATTTTTGGAAACCCAATGAGGAATGCGAAAGTGCATACACATAGCAAGGTCAATAGTATTTATTATATGGATTCCATATTATTATTCACCGGGTTTTAGGACCAGCACAGCTCATGCTGACAAAGACTCCTGGGTAGTTTAACAAATAGCGTGTCAAACCTAATCTCGATGAATTTACTCCCCATACGAGACCACCGATGTCATCCTCCGTGAGTAGCAAATGGTTTTGGATTGTCCCTAAAATCTTTTAGCCCTCCCTTTGAGCCTAAAGCGTCTCAAGCTTAATTTACTTTTTTAAATACCTCATTATCTATCAGTCCCTCAATTCTTAAAATATAAAACTAAGTTTATGCCTCCGTTTTATTTGTCTAGTGTACACACGCAGAAATTGTTGGAGGCAGTTGTTAAAACCACAAGCAAAATTAAACTTTTTAACGGACTGTACAAAGAGTAGAAACTGCCCTAACGATTTTCCCAGTAGAAAATCACTTCGAATTACACCTGCACCAAGACTTCAACATGACACTAGGCAATTTGACCACACATGTAAGAGATCAAGCCAGCGACAACTAGTGATTTTGTATGTCAGAAACACCGGAACGTTTTATCAATGATCACATCCGTTTTAACAAATTGTACTACATGATATGCGTTTCCCACGGTTGGAAACTTTGCATTTAGAATGCACAAATATGGTGAGAAAACCGTATACAATAAGAAGCACCGTTCAGAGATCGGTGAAAGTAACTAGCTCTTCGCAGAATGTAGGTCGTCGGTCTACCCCTAATGTAGGGGTTTTGGGGTTTTTTGCACGGCAATCTTATAGTAGAAAGTGTTTTTATCTTCTTTGTTGCCCAAATTTATTAGACTTCTTTAAACTTTCCACGCATATTATTTACTCTAAGCTTTCTCATTACGTGTTATTGGTTGATGAGTTTCGAACTTTCATGTGCCCTATATATAGAGATTTATTTCTTTACCGAATAATGTTTTGTGCATGACGGTTCCATAATTTACAAAAAATATCTCCACCTAGCAGTCGGACTCAGTGGAAAAGTTTATTTTTCAAATACTCAGGTGGGTTTACAAAGAATATGCCCATCCGAGGCTCTCCCGGCCTGACTAAGTTGAGTTCATTCATGTGCACTCCGTAACCACTCAGTTAAGAAGCTATATGAACCCAATATTTAGGGTTACCGTGGCGTAGCATAAAACAAAACACTAAAGCATCTCTCCAGCAGCAGACAATTACAGATTTGTGCAAGCTTTAATACCTTATACACTCGATAACATAAAATGGAACATCCCGTTGTTCCAAGACATATGTTCGTTCACAATGATGAAAGGATAACTGGGTTCGTTTTGAATGATACCACAATGAAGCAAATTAATGAAGCAAATCACATTTTTTTTATCAGAATTTTAAAGTATAAGCGGCTTTTAGGTTGAGATAATAATTATAAATTATAAATATGCACTGAGTAGACTATACAAAACATTGAGGTGAGTAAGGACGTGCCAATCAAGTTTCCTTGCTGAGGCAATTAGGCTTAGGACCCTTGAAGTGTCGCATTCTTATCTAGGAAGCCTGATGATTGCGAGTGCTAACAGAAAGCACATTTTATCTTTTTATCCCGTTATAAGCTCTTTGTAAACTCCCCCTTTCTTCTCATTGCATGCAGTTACACTGACGTGTGTAGACAATGAAGTGACGTGAGACAATGAAGACTTGTCGACTTTTGGCTTTGCTTGACAAACAGCACAGTCTGCAAAAATAAAAATACCTCTGCGATCGGGCTTTTCTGCAGTAACAACGTCCTGGTGGTAAGTTTGATATACAAACTACATCACCACTGATTGCTTAAATTCGACAGCCTTTGCCCTACTGCACAGCTATGAAGTCTCAATCATTGAGTATTAATACACGGAGGTTGGTGCACTAAGGTAAGGATCCAAATTCGAGTAATCCTGCCCCATTTACCATTTTTCTGTCGTCCGTTATCTACTTTTTAAAGGATTTCTCTTTACACATTTGTCATCTGTTTAGTCCTCCTATCCCCGTACGGGTTCCGTCGGCACTGGAGCTGGTAAGCACCGGACATTTGTTTTGATCCCGTTAGACGTCAGTAGCTCTGCACATCACTGAACGCGCCAGCAGTCCAACGTTGTGCAACTGACACACAAGGTAAGCCTCCTATCAATAATCCATTATAGCTTGCTAAATTCCCGTGGACGGTCACGCTTCAACAGGCGGAAATGTGTGCCAGTGGTGGAAGTGGTTGGATCCCAAAACGTCTTCCATGGTAACCCCCAATGATGGACATATTATACTGGCTCGCCTACTGCTTATAGACCATAAAAAAACTTGTACAGGTTTCTGGCATCTCTGGCGCTGCATGAGTGGATTATCTATCGATTGGCAAAACAAGGACACTTAGTGGTTCGTTATTCCACGCTCTAGACATGACTAAAAAATGGTAAACAAGTCCATTTGGTTAGACAGTAATTTTTGCGCTTTATTGTGCACCACCATGGACGCAGTAGCAGTTTGAAGTCGAGTTTTACGATTTGTGTCCCGACATGATCACTGGCTTTGCCGTACATGAGCCCAAAGTGAATGGAATGCTATTCTAGTGAATTCTTTATGCAAACTTCAGAGGAAAGGAAAAATTCCCCGCAACAGACAGAACAAAACGGACAAAACGTAGAACCACTGTTGGAGTAAACACTAATTCAGAGATATGAAAGACTTCCAGTTAAAATGCCGGTATAGAACTCTTCCTGAGGACAGTCCTTTCTAGGATTGGGCTATTATGTGGATAAACCGCAGTGAAGTTTTCTGCGTCCTATTTTACTATGAATTTCCTGTTTTAAGTTGTGAGCACTCCAAGCATATTCCGAAGTGCCATTCATTTTGTGGCCTTCTCCAGTAACATGCTTATAGGATAAGGAGCAGCAATAAATACGTCACGTGATCGAAGGCTGCTTTCTAAGCTAGTCTCCAAATTAATTACGGAGACGAATATTTCAGATGTAACTGCAGAAGATAAATCGACTGTCGAAAGGCTGACAAATCTGGATCCAGACGAAGTTAAAAAAATATGATAATTATAGTGCACTGCAGACCTGATTGTCCCCATTTTTATCAGCGAAGAGCATGGGCTGTGCATAGTTGCTACGAAAACTAATCTGCATAAACTGAAGTTGGTTCCTGAACAAGTCCCAAGGCCTATATTTGCAGATCGCTGTAAAGTGTATAGTTAACAATATTACCGGTCAAGCATGGACGACTATTATGCGACGACCAATATGAGAAGTAGTGCGAGCCCTATTAAAAAGTGACGGTTCAGTGCTCCAACCAGACGCACTTTTGCATTTTATCAAATGACCTTTTGCCAAAATTTCTTAAGTGAAGTCTTTTTCTTGTTTATTTTCAAAATTTACTCTTAGCCTAGCAGAACCGCTTTGTTTTTAGTGAGAAGTGAGCAAGCGAAAAACAAAAGAGATCGCAAGATAAGTAAACAAATAAACCTTTCTTTTCATGTTCACGAACGCTGTAATAGTTTTCAACTGACAATAACCACAGACCTTGTGTAATTCATATCTCAGTCTGCAGAGACTGATAACAACGCACTTCTTATACTTTGTTGACTGTAACTCTTTTAGGGCAGTAAATAAGCCTTTAACAAAAGATGTTTTTTCAAATGTTTCATATCGTCTTCTCGTCCTATTTTCTACACAAAATTTGGTTTACGTATAGATCCTGAGTCTGAAAAAAACCGTACTCCTTTAATAAGACTAAACACAGCCCATAAAGTAAATATGTCTTGGAGTGGCGAAACCCCTTAAGCTTAAGGTTGACTGCAGTTGACATATATGTTAATATTCCAGATGCTTTATCTTTATAAACGGGAGGAATACGAAAACTCGTTAACTTTTATGACGTGTTTGTCAATATTTGCTCATTTGTGCATTCAAAGCTGCGAAAATATCTAATCCATTGACGGTTTAATTTGAGTTATCAACAGGCACCAGTATTGTTGAATTATTTGAGGTCCAACCGATCTCAAAACTTTCCGTTTTCGCTGCCAGAACAATTCGAGTTCTTTCTCGGTAACGCACAAATTTGGGCGATAAATTTAGATTTTTATGTCTCTTATTGTACTAATATCGTTTTACATACAAATGTGAAGGAAATTTTAAAATGATTCTTAATTTCATATTCGTTTATCAAGAGCCGATCATATTCCTATTCAAAATGTATTAAACCAAACTTTTCTGCAAAACATGAACTGTAGTCAATTTTCTTTTGCAAACTGAACAACCACTGCATCTTTCATATGGTTCACGTGTGAAGTCCTTGATTAGCTGTACTCAAAAATAACCCATTAATCCAGCTGCGATGGAATGCTTATTGTTGAAAATGGAGAGCGAGGTGAAAAGTAACCGGATGAGCCTTCCTATCTTTTTTCACCCCACACTGCACAAGAAACATTATTTACATTCTGCTCATTATGAACTATATCTCCATAACCGTGGCCAAGAGGGAACATCAATTCAGGTTTCGCTTGTTGCTTCATGTCTTTCTGGGATGAAGTTGAGTGACTAGCCAGAGAACACAGTCGCTGTGCTTGTCTAATGACCTACGGTGACTGTGCCAACTAGTTCTGTCAGGTAGCTCCATAACATTTGTGATTTATATCCTGCGTTTGCTTGTTTTTCTTCACAGTGTATCAACTCAAATCAGAGCAAAAAATATACATATCTAGCTATTATGCCTAACTCGCCCCACAATTTAAAAAAACAACTATCGAGACCTATTCGATGCATCGAAATTATAATAAACTGGATTCGTCTTTATGGGACTCACTTCCATAAATCATAATGGATGACTTACTTTGTTGTCCGGCATCAGTAGTCCAATATAGAAGGGCAATATTGCAACTACGTCAATTATGCTCATTACGGTAATAAAAAACTTCCATCGGTTAGGAGCAGCATACATGCGAGCACAATATTCCACGGTGAAAATGATAACACAAGCAGTATCCAAACAGGAAAATGCAGCATTATACTTGTCACCACATGCGCGGGCTTTGTTCAGTCCTGGCTCTAGTCCGCAGGGAATTGTTTCAGTGATGTTTGCAAAGACCGAAACCGCGATAAAAAAGCCGGTGACATAATAAATTACAATGGCTGTAGTGGAGAAGGCTGGATTTTCGAAGGCTTGCCAAAGGCGCTCTCGGAAGCTTTTGGGAACGTCTGCGGCTTCCTTCGCCACAGACTTTTCCTCCAACAGACGCTCCGAATTTTCTCGCTTGCAATCGTGATAATCTTCATAACAACAGTCTCCCAATGCCTCCGGTGCTATGCGGAAATACGCCAACTCGTCCTCATATTGTATGACACACTCTTTTTTGGGATAATGAAGGTGGCCACAGCGGTAATACGTTAGGATATGTCGAAATATTTCTGGGTCACGATCAAAATAATATTCTCCGGCTGATTCATCAAAGAAATAGTCCCGTTCATCAGATCCCAATAAAGTATGTGGGTAACGGTTAAGACTGCTCTTTGAAACCTCGAACCTCTGTCCACTTACATTTATTACTGCTTTATGCTCGATGCCACGAGTTAGCACTACTTGTGAACCCTCTTTCAAACTGATGGGTTTTGGCAGTGGGTTGTGTGCCAAGGGAATCCATCCTATTGCAGTGGCCCGAATTAGTGGTAGCCAGGCCGTTGCATGCACCAAGTCACATACTTGTGACATTTCAATAACTTGGCGTTACCCCAATGTGGAATTTCGTGGCTTCAACTGATGCTCCCAAAATGGGTTGAGACAAGACTGGTCAGATTTCATACAGAATGTCCAAGCAGGAAAAGTGTAAATCGTATATATGAACGCTTAGTTTTCCGCAGTTTTCATTATGTTTCGAAAAGTCCGCTCATCAACGCTGTAAAAGAATCTCCTTAATCTAAGCGGGGCTTCACTCTGCAGGTCGTAACCTTGACGGTTTGCTTCAGGCAAACAACAATCCATGCGTTTCACGAGTATGTCGCAGATTTAAGGATAAAAACGGAAGATGAAAGCTGGGTATGAGTCACAAACTATTACCATGTTCTCGGGATGCGAACAGATGTGATACACCTGGTGGCATAACCCGCAAATAGTGTAACTTGATAAAAGATGGTGCAACTTAAGGCAAATCATGCGATTAAGCTAGCGATGGCAATGATCGAGGTGAACGGCCAAGAAGACCCGAATCATGGTTATTTTTTGGCAACTCTTCCAGGCTTTCTCAGACTTGATGGCTACGGTTGAGTGTGGCGGTAAGTTCGAAATTGGTTTTGTTCTAGCTCGTGCAAATTTATGGAAGAAAACTTTTTGTCTAATCTATATATAGAATTACCACGCGTCGTTATATTTTGTTTTTCACTCTTACACTATCCGTGTGTAAAGTCCTCTGTCAGAATACACCCCAGCCCTGTGGTTCGCCATCTTCCACTCATGAGCCAGGTTATTGCATGCTGCTGTCGATGAACCGCAGATGTGGATGAAATAGCTTTAGATAGAGTTTTAGTCGTGTAATGAAATGTTACGCTGACCAAGCCTGGTGTAAGTCTGGTGTGGTCGTCAAAAACCTCAGGGCGTACCTAGTGAATTGAGGAGAGCAAGCTAATCATTTCAGGAGCGTTCTCCGGACCAGTCATGCCAAAAAAGATCAGAGCGATCGCTACTTGGTGGGCTAGTCACGTAAACTGAAAATGGATCTCGTCACGCGGTGATTACGCGGAAATGGAAGCAAGGGACCATTTAGGTTTCTAGTCACCCTTTACTAGCCAACTGCCTTACACGGGAACTTGGCACGGACTGTCACCTTTCAGCAGATGCATTCAAAGGTAAAAAATTGTAGCCGGGGATCGCCCTGTATTGCGCAAACACTGGGCCACAACAGTCCTTGAAGAAGGTGCCTTACAAAATTTCGCTTGGCTTCAGTTCAACCAACCCCAAACTTCTGACCCACCCGTGTAGACCCATGTAGTCTTAAAAGCTCAGCCGGCAGCTTCTCCGGAGTGCAGTTTCCAATCAGCCACCGATATCCCTAAACCACCGACGAAAGTGATACCCATGTGGAGACACGCCTCAAGTGAACACAGCATACAGTGAATATGGAAACCTCATCGCTTATTCCCTTACCGGATGACAAAGACGGAGCGGTGAAATATTCATTACTCGCAAATCCCGCCAGTCATTCTTTTATTCTGACTGCTTGACGGTATGCCACTAGCCATGTGAAAATTTTTAATATTATTACTGTCATTATTATTACCAAAATGCATATCCAAAAGCCACCTCATTCTTTTCAACAAGCTTTGCGATATCAAACAGTCAGATTTTCCTGAAAGGTGGACGAAATTGCACGTCCTGGCTCACACCAGATTTCTCTGACGCTGAAATCTGCATACGCAGCCGCTGCGTTTTCTGAGCCGAATCGATACGTGGGAGTGCATGTGCGGTTGCATCACACTTGCATGAGGCCCTGTGCATCCCGACTGTCCTCTGTGATGAAAAACCTGCGTCGGCGCTGACCGGAGTAATTCGGCAAGAAGCTTGGACGCAACGTTCGTCCCAAAAAAACCCGCGCGCACTCGGATGAACCGCGGGCTGCCAAAAAGGATTCGGCGACTTCTGGAAAAAATCCCAACTGTTTTTCAGAAAGTTGACCGCGGGGGACACAGAAGATGAGCTGGCATTTCGTAAAATGCGGAACCGCTGTAAATCGGAAATCCGCCAATGGAACATACAAAAACAAGCCGCCATTCTGGACGTCGCTCGAAAAAACAAAAACGTACTGTTCAAGTACATGAGACATCGCCGCAGAAACGAGCCATCCGCGTTCTCCTTGAGGGACAGAAACGGAGAACCGACAAATGACCCAACAGTGGTATCCGAGGCTTACAGAGAACACTATGCCTGTCTATACTCAGCCCCAGCGTCCTCGTCACATCCACTCTTGTCAAGGAGAAACTACAAACAGCCTCTAACCGACTTGGTCTTCACGGTGGAGGACGTTCGTCAACTCTTGCATAAAGTCAACCCATTCTGCGCGTTGGGGCCCGAAAAGGTTCATTCAAGGAACCTGAAAGAAACGTGCTCCACGCTGGCAAATAATTTACGCCTAGTGTTTCGTCAGTCGCTTGACGAAGGCCGCCATCCCTCTGCTTAGAAGGAGGCGATTGTCATGCCAATATACAAAACTGGTGACTGACTGTCGCCTGGCAGCTATAGGCCTATAAGCCTCACTAGCGTACCATGTAACGTGATGGAACGCATTCTGAAGCAAGCTATCCTAGATCACCTTACTTCCAGCAACCTGATATCTCCAGCTCNATCACCTTACTTCCAGCAATCTGATATCTCCAGCTCAACACGGATTTCTCCCACACCGCTCTTGCGTGACAAACATGCTCGTGTTTATGGACAGCTTAACCCAAGAAAGGACCAGGGGAACCTAATGCTTAATTATGCCCTGCTTGAACAGAGCTTAGAAAACAGGTTTTTACCATTGACCCAGCAAACACACGGCGGGGACATAGTAAGAAAATTTTGAAGCTCAGAGCACACACATTCATTAGACAAAATTTTTTCTCATTTCGGGTAGTAGGTTCGTCGAATGACCTTCCTCCGACGGTTGTACACGCTCCTTCTCGAACCCAATTTAAAGCACTATTAGACATTTATTTATGCGAATCCTCGCGCTGGCGAGCATACTGCCCCGCGCTGAGAACATAAAGAGCAGTGCTACACCCTTTTTTCACTTGTGCCTTTCAGGTGAACGACAGCCACTGACCGACAAGAACAAAACCGACCCGGGAGACTTGGGCAAAAGCCTCGATCCTGTGTATCCATCCGTGAATCCGTGAAACGAGCCTCGCTAGCGGCGCTCAGCGCCCCCTGTCCGATGAAATCGAACGACCACCTGATGCCGTAAAGATCGCTAGGACCAATGCTAAGAAATCCACGCAAGCAGGCAGCGAGTACGACTGTGCTCGCGAATCCTTCAAATAAAAAATAGTGAAGAGCCGAAGTGTTGTGTTTTCTGAACGGTTGTGTCGCTCTGTGTCTGTCTTTGCCCCCTGCTCCGTCCACTATTGTATGTCAAAACGCACGGTAGCTTCACAGACAAAGGAATATTATCACGCCCGTATTTAAAGGATCATCACAAATGTTCCATAAGATCCTGGTGGAATCTTCGTGGAGAAGGAGCGTCGGGCTAAAGATGCTCGATCCAGTTTGGCTGACATTTCGACAAATTAGGTCATGTGCTGGCTAAGTCCGTAGCTCGAACGTGACGCATCTCTTCAATTTATGTGATATGCGGTTATTAGAGGCGGCTGGCTATCGGACACCTGACACTTGGGAAGGCTGTTCAGCCGACCGCCTAGTCGAACTCAACCGTGAAGACTCATGGAGGTGCTGTTACGTGTTGCCCATTCCTGGGACTGTATTTATGCCGATCCGTTATCTGTTACCCCCCATTTCGACGGTATATCACGGCTGTTGTCTCTTGCGACGTACCGCCTAGTCTCAACCGTGAAGACTCATGGAGGTGCTGTTACGTGTTGCCCATTCCTGGGACTGTATTTATGCCGATCCGTTATCTGTTAGTTACCATTTCGACGGTATATCACGGCTGTTGTCTCTTGCGACGTGGTTCCCTTACGGAGCCACAGTCTGTTGTTAAAAGTTGGTTTCCCGAAGGGCCGTGCTTTTGTTCTTATTTTAATCCCTTCCTCCATGTCTTTTTCGAACCTGCGTCTACCATGGAGAACATTCCACATGTCCTCGAAGCAGTATTTGGCCTCAGTGTGACTGTTGTGGCGTCCCTTCTGCCGGCTGTCCATTTCTTGACATTCTGGATAGCAGTGAAACAAACCGCATGAACCTGGAACTGTACAATGAAGGGTTTGGATCGCGCGTGTAGCGTTGCAGGCTGCTGACGGGTTACATCAAAATGAGGGGTAACATGAGAGGGTTGCCTGTGCCGGACGCCAGGAGCAGAATAGTCGCTGCATCGCGTATACTCCCTCTGGTCTCCGGTTGGGCTGAAATTGTGGCGATCACAAACCCAACTGTTTTTCCGCATTCATCGACATACAGAGATTCAGAAGGCTTCGTTTGAGCTTATTCGAACTGCTTCTGTTGCTGCTGTAGGCTTAATTGGAGTTACTATGCTTAACTTGGCATCGTAGGTTCGGGCTGTATTCAGTTGCCGTGCCTTTTGAATGGTCGCGTAACACAATTGGTGCTTGGCCCCCTGTCCCAACCAATATATTATGGACGAGCAGTATTGGAGACAGGTGCTCTCAGCTCCAAAGCACTTGGATAGCCGGCCAAGTCGCGTAGTAGTGACATCCGACGAGCTTGATCGAGCAATTACAAGAGAGAAAGTAGGTCGTACGATCCATTTAATAGGCGATTCGTCCCCGGGGCTGGGCAAGCTCACACCCAGGATTCTCCGCCGGTTCAATGCTAACGTGCCCGCCGGGTATTTTAACTTACTCTTGTTATCTGGGGGTTGTCCCCCACATCTATGTCGTGCCCGTATTACCCTAGTTCCGCAGGTCCCAAATTAGGCTTCACCGGATCAACTGAGACCGATCTCCGTGTCGTCCGTTCTTGCTCGTTGCTTTCATGAGGTGTTTGCTGATGGCTGGAGTCGTAGATTGCAACTACCCTCACTTCAGTTTACATTTCTGCATCAAGACGGCTGTTTGGAAGCCATATAGCTGTTACATACCCTGCTTCTTCACTCTTCTGCGACTACTTACGTCAGCTTGGCGTTTGTTGATAATTCGGAAGTGTTTGATTCGGTTTCGCATGACACAATCGTCAGATCTGCCAAGACATTTGGAGCACCGTCACCTCTAGTTCGATACATCACACAGTCCTGTGAGAATCCTGTAGCAGTTCTCCCCATTTCCGAGGCTCACTGCCACAGAGGTGTGAGGCAAGGGGATCCACTCTCTCCATTATTGTTCATCATGGCAATTGATGAGATTGTCAATGCCGCAAATGGGGTACCAGTTCCATGACACCTCAGCGGATTGTTTGCCTTCGCTGACGACTGGGTCGTGTGTGCAGAAAGTCAGGCTCGCCTTAAACAGAAGCTTGGAGCTGCTGCAGTCGAGTTGGGAAGAGCTGGCATGAAAACAAACGCCCAAAAGACGACAATGATGGCGATTTGTGGGGGACAGGAAACATCGGGCGACAGCAGTCTTAGTCGAACCATTTTGCTTCGCCAAGGAACTCATCACTCTTCTGGGTTCGACAGACACCGTAACATATTTGGGCATTCGCTTTACTTCCAAGGGGAAAGGGGTCTTCAACCACCGACGGCACCTGCTCAAACTGCTCGATGAGGTGATGCGTGCCCCGTTGAAGCCGCATCAAAGAATGGAGATCACGAGGAAATACCTGATACCGAGGCTGACATATTTGCTCGTGCTCGGCCAAGTTCACCGAAACACGCTCAAAAGATTAGACAACTACATCAGGCAATATATTCGTGGCTGGCTAGGTCTACCGAAGGACATCCCGATCAGCTACATCGACGCCGGCAAACAACAACAAGTCTGAGTTCAACAATCCCGATGCAGCAGATAACGCTCGATCATGGAATCTAACTGAAGACAAATGGCGTTCATGGAGACCGTACATGAGAAAGACAGAAACTCACTGACTGTCTAGGGGGCCTGATCATGATCATCAGCTGCAAAAACTGATTACTTGTAAAGTGGTTATAGCTAATACAATGTCGTTCACCGATAACTTTTTGGTGGGAGGTGTATATAGCTATGTATTGAAGGCGGTAACGGATGTAATTGATGCGTCAGTACAATGAATTTCCATTAGGAAAATCGTGAGGAGAAGCCATGCATTGAAGGTAACAGAGTGGATGCGTGTTGTTGGTGTGGTGAGTCTTCCAGGATGGGGTTCCCGTGACCCCGTCTGTGCTTGGCTGGAGACGTTGCAAGAAATGGCGGCTAATCGATGTCAGTGGCGTTCGTGCAGTCAGTTTCTTTCCAGATTGTCTGATTGAGCGGTTGGAGGTGTAGGCACCTCAGTATGCTTGACATAGGCCAGCACCAGGTCCCATCCCTCACCCAATCTTTTCCTCTTATATTCTCTGTAGGGCTTTTAATACAATTATATATATATATATATATATAACGAACTTTATGGTTGTACGGCAGTGAAAGCATCAGTGCCAACACTGATGTTGCTGTCATTGATGATGATGATGATGATGCGTGTGCGGGACTAGATCATGCTTGGTAATGGGCAATCATTGACATATCCTGTCTCGAGGTCCCCATTGAAGTGGAGACGTTAATGCTCAACACATCTGTGTTTGTTGGTAATGAAGAGGGGGTGTCATGCACGCGACCGTTCAGTCTGATGCTGGTGTCCTCGTGGTAGCCAATTTGTTGGTGTGCAAAAGCGCTACCATCTTTACTTCTTCAGTGACACCATAAGAGTTAGGGTCTGCTAAGCCATACAAACTAGTCAACGATCTGTAATCTATATTTTCTAAGAGCGGGCCGCGAAGTTTTGTTCTGTCGATCAAATAATCTTGCCTCGTATTTAGAAGTCGCGTTCCGAAGGTTTGGACAGATACTCAGGTTGTCCAGGGTACGTTTTGCTGCCTAGGTGGTGTAGCATACCTCATAGTCTATTACTGTGGTTGGCTTCAGACCTCCCTACGATGAATTCCCCCAAGTGTGTCACAAATATCGAATTAGGAAACGGATGGCTATGGTGGACGGCTCTGTTTTACACGGCTCTATATGCAAATGCACGATAGGCGACCATAAACTGATACTTGATCTAAGATATCCGTGTCTGATGTTAAAGTGATCTTTTCATGCGTTTTAGTTACATCGCTTTCGATAAGATATTTCCACAAAACACCCTTTCGAGAAACGAAAGCCCCTTTCTCCAAGGAAAACAAGGAAGTTAGGCAGATAGTAGACGTATTGCGGTCCTTATCATCGCCGCGTAATGAAAATATGGTTGATACAGCTTCGTACCAGACGGAGAACCATCTGCTCTTCACAGATGTGGGATGAGTAACTTGGATAGCTGGCGGTATGGCGTGTGTATGGTGGAAAAACATATGAGTAACGGCAAAGTACACAGACGTAGCAATCCGCTTACTGACCATAGCACACAAGCTTCGATTGTTGAGTCACATTCCTAGGATGTCCGCGCACTTTCGTTCAGCTGTACCACCCTTTCGGTGCCTAACTTCCATGCCATTAGAGGGAGGCATGAGGGCTGGGATACTGCCAGGTTGCCCAAGCCTAGACGAGGAAGCCCAGAGGCAGACGTCGGGTTCGAACCATGGACCTTCCTGTCAGTAAATTCATGCTCTCACTACTGGGCTCACCTTCACCTATCTCGAAAAAGGTTCATTCACTAGACCAGGTGGAAGCGGTAAAAGGTAGCGTCATTTCGCGGACGACGTGAATTAAAGTATGGATATATAGGAAATGTGGGATGCGAAGTCCTTACTAACACATGTTCATTTCATCTCCTGGGATTCCGAGAAGTAGGAGAATGGCATAGTTGCGTGGGTGACATATTCGTCCCAAAGCTTCTATACCCGTCCTTTTTCCACACTGTATATTTTATTGTTTGACGTCGCGTGAAAAAAAGAAAGCGTTCAGCTGTAGCACCCTTCCGGTGCCTAGCTGCCATGCCACCCGAAAGAAGCACGAGGGCTGGGATACTGCCAGGTTGCCCAAGCCTAGACGAGGAAGCCCAGAGGCAGACGTCGGGTTCGAACCATGGACCTTCCTTCGTGCTCCAACCACTTGGGCCATCTCGTCGCGTGACACGTGGATCCAATGTTATGTACTATGTTCCGTGAATATACCTACTGGCCTGGTCCGATCTTGAGTGCAGCTTAGTCCGTGGTAACACGGCAACTACCAAGTTCAACAGTCATGTTAACGTGGGAGCTCTAAATCTGGACTACCAAGATGCATCAAGATGCTGGCCACCTGATTTAACCATTCACGACACTTGTTTTGAGTGATATAAGTGGTCATCACAGTAGAGTCCTTCAAATTGACCCGGACACCATTACTAATGACATGGACAACAAGATGCAGGCCTGAGTTATGTACTGACTTATTGTGATGGAGCCAGTAAGAAGGGCCTGTTCCCGGATTCGCATGATACCAGAGTGAGCCATTCGAGTCTATAAAATACAGCCGAAATCTATTCGATAGTCGTACAAACTGTCTATTGTCAATTTAGTCGACAGCAATAAGAAGACAAACATTTGTGACAGAACCACTTCATTCGCATATTAGGGACCTCAATTTTCGTTTCGATTACTTAATTCACTGATTCAGTAGGAAATGTGGTTTCCCGGGAACAGTGTTAGAGAAGAGGAGCTCCCGTAACGGCACAATGTGTCACGGGTCGCGTCCTGGTTGCCATCAGGTTTTAGCTCGAGGGTGTACACACGCAACCAAGGAGCTGTTGGACAGCGCGCCATCATGATCTTCGGATTTTGAAGGCTCTTTCACCCATCATTGCTTATGGTTGATCCTTCTGTTTCCTGCAATCTGTTCTAAGTCAGGGTTTAGCGAGCTCACTTGGACGGACAACCAGGCTATGATGCCGGACACGTTCCTCCCTTTACCTAAGTGAAAGCACGACCATGAGAAGATGATGAATCTGTTGTCCCCCGCAAGAGTTACTCAGTACGCCTGAAGCATTTGGCTATTTTGAGACTTCGTCACCTTCAGTTAAGGACGTTGGAATAATAGCTTCGTAAACTTCAACCACCGACATCATGGGCTAGCGGCTTATTCAGTGTTCTTGCCTACGCAGATGCTGCAGAAACGACGGAACATGTCAGGCCACTTACGTCTCAATCATTTCCATCGTTGCTTTATGAATTGCAGAGAGGCCAACATCTTCCTTATGAGTCTCAAGACTCGTCACCCCTCAGCATAATGTCTACCAAATCGATGGGACGGTACGCGAATCCTGATGACTCATATCCCGCTCACTACTTTGTGCTGTTTGTGGTGCTCAAGAGCATATCACTGGACTATTGGGGTCACCGTTACCACGCCATGTTGCGGGTTGTGTTACTGTCATTGCGATGCATCAAAAGGAGTAGTAGGTTTCAACTTTTTAATATTTTCAAACATTTACGACTCGGGATTGTAGCTGGTGGATGTTAGCATTGGAAGGAGGGTGACGGCGGCGACGTCTTAGACGCCTGCTCACCACGAGGCAGGTAACGTGTATATTGGAAGGTGGGCGTAAAGCGAATTGCGGAAATTCTGAAAGACTATGTGAAATTCCAAGACGGGGTCTCCTATATTTGGCTCATGCTCGTCCAGAAGAACAGAGGTGATTTCCTTGGTTTGTTGTGTTTGTTCTCAGGGGTCTGATGTTTCTGACTGCACACATAAGAGAACGTCTCTGGAATAACTGGTGGGTTTGCCTGCTTGGACGCATTGCTTCCCCACTACTCACTGATGATACCACTCCGATTGGTAGTGACTCGGATGGTCCTGCCGTCATTCTTTCCTCGGACTTTCCATCCACCACGTCTCACAATATATATTCCTAAACATTCTGTGCATACTTTAGTGTAATTTAACAGACCTTGGTGAATTGGCGATGAAACTCCATGCTTCCAAACGTGAGTATGATTGTGTCGCACCATTTTTCTAACTCGTTCCATTTGGTTTTAGGCCCTAAAACCCTATCTTACGGCCGTAAGGCATACACTACATGCTGCACTCTGTGTGCAAAATTTTCCTTCGCAAGTAGTTGAACGACATAATAAACCGGAGATCGAAGTGAAAACCTCCAAGGAACTGCTCCTACAGCCGGTTGTCATCAGCCGAAATGAGAAAGAACGCGTGCTGATTGAGGGTTCTATCAACTCTGTTCGTGTGAGTATTTCCATCAAACAGTCGGATGAAATCGAACGGCTTTTATGTCGCAAGTTCACTCGTTTTATGATGATGCGCGCCGAAGATTTCGTCATCCTTCGACGCAAGCCTGTTCCGGTGAGTTTTGTCAATGAATATCTGAAGTTTGTATAACTGTGGATGAGGTATTCCCCGTTTTTTCCAAGTGGTGCCATTGTAAAATAGCTTCGATGACTATCTAATTTTACGGAACTGTTTATTCTTCAGTTGTTCACTGATAGCTTTAAGTTGCCTCACTGAATAGCACAGCTACATGCTGCGGAATTTTGGAATATCCTAAAATGCCAGTGCCTTTGATGTTTTCTCTAGGTACTTCAGTTGTATGAGCAGTACCATTAGTCAATCACTGGACATGCCACGTACAATCCACGGAGAGGCACTAGAAATGGTGGAGCGTTTCACTTATCTTGGAATTTGTATTAGTTCTAATTGTAGCGCGACAGATGAGACGAATCTGTAAGCCCTGGGTCGTGTTTGCTAATTTGAGACACCTATGGCGTCAAAGTCATATATCCCTGAATCTCAAGAGACGTGTGCTTCAAGCTACAGTGCCAGCTGTGAGACTTGGTCTGTTCGAGCAGCGGAACTGAGCTGGAACAAAGCCGATATGATATTGTAGGTTTTCTTCCTCCACCTGGTGATCCCGGAGTTTCAGATCACAGGCCAGGTGGAGTGGATATCAACTAACTGGGTCATCCAAAACGGGTACTTCCCAAGCTCAAAGCTAGGGAAGATGAGGGGACTGGAGGAGATTCGCAAAACATAGTGAGTTTCAGGGCATATAAAGTGGGATAATATGCATTATTATATACACAGAAAGGAACATTTGACACCCGCTGCAACTATGGTGATAACAAGCGATTATATGGAGTGGGAAATAGACAGCTTTTTATTTAGTAAGATAGGGACCAAGGGGTTGAGTTTGCAAACATACGATATCGTATTACAAGGGATCTAGTAAAAAGCGCGCAGAAGCGTGGTATGGGAATCAAATATATAAGGGCTGGCTGGATACTTTATGGGGCCTTTGTCAGACCCCTTCTTGAATACGCCGTCTCTCAGGATGCAATAAAACGTGGCTCTCGTTGATCGTGTCCAACAAGCTGCTACGGGCGTGTTTCTTGGAGCTCAATCCGTTGGTTTTGAAACACGTCCCTCGGTGATCGGCATATTTAAACTGGAGTATCTTCACCTCCGAGGTGATCCAATATTTGCTTGTGCCTTATTCCAACAAGTTGTGGCCAAAATGCTTCCCAACTGTGGCCCAGCCGGCACTCGGCAGGAACATGGCTAAAAGATTTTCAAGCTCAGAGCGCGCACTCTTATAAGGCAATAACTTTGTTTCAGGTAGATAACTTGCGGAATAACCTTCTTTTGTCGGTTGTCCACGTTGCATCGAGTGCCCGGCTCTAAGTACATTTATTGCCATTTTGGTTGGGTCCTCGTGCTGGCGTCATTACCGCCGTGCTCTAAAAACCTAAAGAGCAGTTTCTTTTAGCCTTTTTTGGCTTAAGTCACTGGATGACAAGCGCAAACTCGACCCGGAAAGCTGGGGCAATTCCTAGGATCGTGGGTATCAATCCGTTTAACCCGTGAGAGATGAATCGCCCGGGACACACACTGGAAGGGTTACTTTCGAGATTGTGGCGAACTGTGCTGCTTCGTCCGTTTACTAGGCGCGTAGATTTTTAGAGTCTCAGTGCTCGTCAATACGAAACGCAGAACAAGTAGCTATTAAACTGCCCAATTTTGCCCGTCGAGTCCAGGCTCCACAAATTAGATTGTTTTCAAAACTGCCGCCAGTTGAGTCCCTTAAAAAACCAATCAGGATGTCGTGGCACCGTTAATCAAGAGAATGTATTTGAATCTTCGGATGTAGCCGCAACTTCATTGACGAGATCATCTCGCAGCTCTTCGTCGAAAAATTCAACTACTGCTATACTATGCAGGGGCGGACTGGCCCAGTGGTTAGGGCGAAAATGTACTGACCAGAATGTCCGCGGCTCAAACCCCTCTTGTATCTCTCAACCTCCCTTGGTGTGGGCTTGAGCAATCTGACAGTATCCCATCCTTCATGATCCCCTCTATAGGCACTGCACTTGGGTCTTCATCAACCTCCTGCTTTGGAGCCCTTTTCCTGATTGCGTCTATACTTCTTTTTCCTCGGTCGAACACTCCCCTTGTTTGCTGCTGTTTAGTGTGTCGACCTCATGGACTCCATATGTATTTGTAATCCCTCATGAACTCGTAACCCTTGACTTGTCGAACCAATTCGGTCAACCATTTTTTACGCGCGCCTTTTGACCATTTTGCGTTACCACGTGTTGTGCTCGGGCGTGTGTCGAAAACTAATATCGATTTGTCATTTTCTTGGGGCTTTCTTGGACTCGCATTACTTCGTGCAACAGTTTAGACGGAAGCTCCCATAATTTGAGCTTCGTGCCCCTTTCATTACGTATTTTATACATGTAGTACCGCATCTGTTGATGAATATCAAGATTTCATAATTTCCGGCTTGTGATTTCGCGCGTCACTCAAGTGGGCTTTCCTGAATACGTCGAAGCATTCTTCGACGCCAGGAAAACGCTTTCAAACGTATGTGGTAATCTCCCGTTGTATCGAGATTATTTGAACCCGTAATTGTGCTCAACACCAAACGATCGGGCGACCAACATCTACCTGTCGTTGAGCAAACGTTTGGGAAACCATTCCTTGCTTTGTACGCGTTTCAGTGTGCGCTCAAACATCTACAGCCTCTTAATATGGAGCGAATTCGGTAAAATTGACTAGTTGAAGGTCCATTCGGGAATATCACATAGATGTACCCACAATGATGTGGTGTTCACTCCTGAGAAGCGGAAGCGTGTTCTTCAGCCTCGTTTGGGTGGCCATTCTAATGCAAGAACTAGAAGTCTATCTTGAAGCCTATGTTTGTGTCTCCTTCGAGGTCGGAGAGCCAATATTCTGTCATTTACTGACGGTATAGCACGTGATGATCTGCTTACTATCAGCAGTTTTGCTCCCAGTCACCTGCCAAGCCTCCCTGTGGTTCCAAATAAACAAACTCACTGAAACTTGTTGTCGACCAAAACTTCTTGTTACACCGCGTTTCATGTGTATATAAGCCCGGCTGGAAATGAATTTTTTGGCACCTTTGCGATGGCTGTGGTGACTGACGCTACTGGACGTTACTCAACCGACAGCGCTTATATCATATTCATCATGGACATAAACTAGAATGTTGCCACTAATCTTCTGCTGCCGTACAACCACAAAGTTCGTCTACTCATATTTAAAGCCTTGGAGAGGTGAGCAGAGAAACAGTTGGATGGGGGAGGCGAACTAGTGCTGGGCTACATCAAGCATTATGAGTTCCTTTCACATCTGAGCGTTAAATCAGACAGCATGAAAACACGAACAATGCTTATACTGATCGGCCTGTATTAATTTCAATACCTCCACCAAGCGCAATCGGGATCACGGGGACCTCATCCTTGAAGTCATACAAAATCAACAACTCAGAATCCTCTCATAAGATCTTTCATGTCTTTCTCTCAAGCCCAAGTTGCACACCTCGCGGTTCGCGCCATTGTGAAGGATGGACGGATAAGAACACTCATCTCGGTAGACGGTATTTCTTCGTATGTATAACATGGGTGGGCCATCGTAGTCGATGGTGTTGTATGCTGCCGCACAACCAAACACCCGCTTACTATACACTTTTGGGCTAGTTGCTGCCAAAGACCCATTTGTCCATGTGTTTTGCATACTGTTTTACGCGCTGGCTTCAGGCGAGGCTGCAACTGATTAGTAGGAATCAAACCGATGACAGGAATGAAAATAATTGCTTAGCGATTCTGATTTGGCGATCTCTCTTTTTGCCTTCAGCGCTTAATTTATCTAAGGCAACCGTTGTGGAGTTCTCATGTAATTTGGGGTGCCTTTTTCTTTCAGCAGTATATTAACATTGAGCGCTAGCTTGATCCTCTTTAGTTCTGTCTCACAAATATAATGTATGGTTAACTTAAGTGCTTTACTCCACGAAAGTCTCCAAAATAGCTGAGCTGCCAATAGTAGCATGGCTATACTACTCTCTTATGTGCCCACCAACATTTGTTCGGTGGGCTAGTTCCCTGTGGCTCAGCCTAATAGTATCACCTTTACAAGCTGGTGGGGATTAATTGCTGTTTTGATTTCGGGGGCTACAGTGGATTGACCCAAATTAGTTCCATCAAGTTCACCCATACCAGGAAGGCGAAAGGAGAGCAACCAGACCAAGAGCAATAAGGCCTTAGCTACGAGGTGTTCTCAACTCAGCGGATCTTCCTCCCCCTAGGAATGACGGATTAGAAAAGGCCGGCTCCAAAACCGCACACTCCGGTCGCACAATATTTGACCGTGACCACCAAAGCATTATTCAGTACGGTCGAAATACTATAACTCAGTCGTTTTCAACGTGAGGTCCCTCACCCGAACATCCTTCCACGGCCGGGGCAACCGAGAAGTGTCACTTGGCCGCACATTTCTCTGTCCATTGATGTCCCTTTTTACCACTTCCCACAAAGGAAGTAAACGTTGTTGGGTCGCTTTGTAGTCGCAATTTCAACCGTTGAGCCTCATGCAACCGGCTTCCCAATAAGAATAAATAAAATAAAATCCCCCTCAATTTATGAGATCTTTTCTACATATGATCTTTTGGCGTCTGCACCCCATATCAAATTGGCAAACAGTCATTCCTCAGTGAGACGTCGTGCATCACTAAAACTGCTTTACACTGTCTCAAAAACATGCTAACAAAATCAGACTGTTGTGGTGCATCCCAAAACGCTAGGGACTAGTTCAGTTCTTTCACATTTCTCCCTCTGCGTTTCTGGTGACACATATGCGATGGGTTGCGGAGTATACCGCTTGATAGTTGCATTCAACCCCAGAGCTGAATACTTTGCTGGATCCCAGTGAACAACCATCTTCGCGCCTTCCAGTTATCCAGCTCAACCCAGCTCACTACCTCTCGATATAAAACACTGACAGTTCGTAATAAATAATAATAATAGGTTGTTTCCCAACTTGTGAGGAAC